AAAAAAAAAAAAAGAAAAAAGAAAAAAAAAAAAGAAAGAAAATGAAAGAAAAAGAAAAAGAAATGTTCTTACAGCCAGGGAGTCTGAGAATAGGCATCACCGTTGAAAAAATCTCAGGTAGTGACTACCTGACTAAAAATCGTTTATTCACTCAAAAGCCTTTAAGGAAAAGCAGTAACATGGCCCTGAACTATTTAGTAGTTGCCTTAGGCAGAGGAAGCAGAAGCATGAGGTGATGAAGAAGAGTGGAGTATTTGGGGGCTGGTGACTATGGGCGTGGATGGAGCCAGAGTGAGAAGGGCCTAGTACGCAATTTGTGGTTTGGCATGCATCTTGAGGCCGGTTCTAAGGAATTATAGGGTTTTCAGGCAGAGGTGGGGTGCTGTTCATTTCATCTCTTAGGAAGCTAAGTCTAGGAGCAGTGAGGGGCTGGGATGGGAGAAGGCGCAGCACAGCCAGGACTCGGCACAGCTTTGAGGGCTCAAAGTGAGAAATGAGGATTTGAGCAGAGGCACGAGTCGGGGAGTGGAGAGGAGGCTGGAGCGCTTTGGCCAATAGACTAACCAGCGCCTGGGTGATGAGAGAGGGCCCAGGCTTGCTGTTTGGAAGCCCAGAGACAGTGGTGCAAACCAAGCGTAGGAACAGCGGTGTTGTGATACTGGCTGTTGCATGGGAGGGATGGAGAAGATGGTGACTTCAGTTTGGGACACGATGACACTGAGAGACTTGTGGGACATGTGGGTGGAAATATGTAGTGGCCAGTACAGGCCTGGAGGGGAGGAGTGATGTTAGATGCTCAACTAAATCACTCTTAGTGAAAGCCTGCCTGTGAATGAGATTGGTCAGGCAGGTGATTAGAGATTTGGGGTGGAGGTGGGGTGGAAATAGTAGCAGAGACTTTCCTAGTGCCTGCCGTGTGTCAGGCAAGTTTCCGGTGGATACTCACTGCTGAAGAAGAAGGGCAGGACTGAGGAGTAGTGCTGGGAGAGCCCCCGGTCCAACCTTCCCAAGGAGCCGGAGTAGAAGACTGCGGAGAGAGGTGGCCAGGATTGTCCATATGGTAGAGCTGGGAGAAGCCAGTGGCTGCCTTTAATGGGGCTCATTTTAGTGACGGAGTAGTAGTGTTGAACATGGTGACAGTGATTGAGGAGTAAAGGTGAGGTGTGGTAATTTACACTAGTATTAAAGTTCAAGGATAAAGGGAAGGAAAAAAAGCAGTAGGTAGTAAAGTAAGTGGAAATTGAACCATTAGTAGGAAAAAATGTTATCTGTAATTAATAGTTAATTAGCTGATTAAAAAGCCATAGACTTTAGGCTTCCAGCAAGGACAGTGCATGATTTGAAAAATTATAAACTGTGGAGCTTCCCCTGTGTTCAAGTTACTGTTCTTTCATTGCTGGGACAAATACCTGACGCTCTTACCTATGCAGTTCCTTTTCTCTTTGGCAGTGTTTCCCCCAACCCCCTTTTATTCACAGCACTGTAAGCTTTTCAGATATCACAAACCCCCACCATAAAGTAAGAACTTCTCCCCCAAGAAAATGCACAGATTCAACATTTGGTACACAATTTCAGGATATTCATATAACCCCTGAAACCTACTTTTGATTACCAATTTAAGAATATCTCTTTGAATGCTTTTAACTGGGGAGCAGAGATAGGCAAATTGGAGATTACCAGTCATATCTACCTTGCTAGTGGTCTTTGTGTATAAAGTTTTATTGAAACACTGCTATGTCCATTTATATATAAAGTTTTATTAAAATTCAGCTATTTCTATATTGTCTATAGTGGCTTTTCACCACAAAGCTGGTGCAGGGGGTGGCTAGGTGGTTGTCAAAGATCTGCAGGCCTGTGAAGCCTTAAAATATTCATTGTCTGGCCCTTTACAGAGAAGGCTTCCAGTCCCTTGCTTACTCTCAGCTGACTTTATTCTCTTTATCCTTAGTTTATGAGGTAATATCAAAGCAGGCACTCTTGTTTAATGTTTAACTTTTTATGGGGAGTTCTTATTAAAGTTTTTTTTTTTTTTAGCTTGATTTGGATATGTAAGAATTCTTTATTTAGTAACTTACTTATTTTTCATCCAGATCCTGTCCCTGGAGGCTGTAATTTGGAGTTTGATTTAGATATTGATCCCAACATTTATTTGGAGTACAATTTCTTTGAAACAACTATCAAATTTGCCCCAGCAAACCTAGGCTACGCAAGGTATGACTGTCTTCCATCTCCTAAAGTTGCTTTTAGAACATTCACGACTATTGTATAGATTCAGCAAGTCTATAGTTCTCTGTAGTAAAATTGAATTGTTTTGAGAAACTGAGGAGGGATTAGTATAATTTTAAACCTCATTATTGATATTTGACTGTCAATTACAGCTAGTATTTCCTGCCTGGCATTTTTATAACCTCTTTATCTGAAGAGCCAGATATGTTTGTTATGAGCTTGAAAGTGCATCTTAGCTCTTGTCTTGTCTTTTTAATCTTTTTTTTTTTTTTTTTTTTTTTTTTTTTAATGTATTTAGTACAGGATCTCTTTACACGGATTGGACTCATAGTGATCCTCCTGTTTTCAGCCTCCTAAGCTCTGGGATTATAGCCGCGCAGCACTGTGCCCAATCTCAATTGCTGTCTTGACAACGAACCCTGGTCCCTGCAGTCCTTGCATCTGCCTAAGCAGGTGCTTTCACCCGCTGAGCTATCTGGCTGGCCCATTAGCTTTTGTTTGGTTTTGGTTTTGGTTTTTTGAGCCAAGGTCATGCCTTGTAGCCTACACTGGCTTTGAACTGGAGGTGATCATCCTGCCTCTACCTTTTTTATTTTTATTTTATTTTATTTTTTTTATAATTTTATTGATAAACAGATAGCAATGAGGTAGTTTCAAATCAAATCGCTAGGACAGTTTCAATAACTAACACACTGCATACATTCTTCTTAGTGGTGAATTGCTGTATAAGATGCGGACTTGATATCCTATTTACACACACCATTAGAACAAATCATTCTGTTCATTAACAGAATGTAACTATATATCTATCCCATCCACTTTGCATATACAGTTGCAGAATGGACATTCATCTGTATCCCCTTTTTTTGTTAAGTTCCGTTATTTGAATATTATAGGTGTGTAAACTCAGCAAAATATTCTAAAAGAGTCCAGATCCTGCCTCTACCTTACAGGTGTGTGCCACCACACCTAGTCATCTTAGCTTTTATAAAGCACTTTATTTTTTATGTTTTTCTTTTGAGGTACCAGGGATTGAACTCAGGACCCTGTGCTTACCAGGCAGGTGCTTTAGTCTACTGAGCTATCTCCCTGGGTCACTATGAAGCACTTTAAATGTGGAAAGAATGTTAGTTCTGAAACATCCTTATATTTTTACAGGGGTCATTTTTTTAATTTAAAATTCTGCCTCGGTTTCTACTTTAATAGCAGCGATGAGGTTGAATAACATTATCTTCCCTTGCGCCTCTCACAGTATTGAATGCTATGTGTTCTGTGTCATTTAATCCTAACAGTTTTATGAAGGGCAATTGTCCTTATGTTACTGAGAGGTTTTCCAAGGGTTATCGAAGTGCCTTGCCCACATGCACACAGCTACCAAGTGGCAGTAGAATCTGGTCATTCAGCTTGCCTCTCTGTGTGTCTTACCAGACAACATAGGTGAAGTAAGAATCTCTTGGCTGGCATGGCTACTGTTCAGCTTTCAGTTTCTTGGATTTGGAATATTTGTAGAGATGTTACCAGTTGAACATCCCTAATCTGAAAATCCAGAATCAAAAGCTTTTCCAGTGTCACGTAAGTGTGTGTCAGGTGGCAGAGTTTCGAGTTAAGAATGGTCAGCTGGTACCACAGAGTGGGTGGGTCATGACCAACGAAGCTTATATCTCATGGCTGTGGATGCTGAGATCTAAGGTGGGAACGCAGCCCGGTTGGGTGCTGGCGAGGCCCCGGTTCCAGGTCGCACTCTTCTTGTATCCTCGTAAGACAGAAGGAAGACTAGAGAGCTCCCTGGGTCTCTGATAAAGGACACTAATGACCTAGTTACCTTGCAAAGGTCCTACGTCCTAATGCCACCACATGAGGCACACACCCCTGGTCCCTAGCATTGTGACACTTTTCTCCAGAATGCGATTTATGACTCTATGAAAGGGGAACTGTGAAAGTGGGATTGTTGCTGTAGACGTTTGCATTTAGTGCTAGGACTGTAGCACAGTGGTAGAGTGATGGAGACCCCACAAAGTGGCTCTGAGCAGGATTTATGTTAACTGATTAGGTCTTCGTGGGTACTTGTGAGGCTGCCCAGGGCCTAGGCCCCTCAACCGGAGGTGGGCAGGAGACTCATAGCAAGTGAACCTCTGTGAGTCACTGGTCCCGACTGACTGAGGCTTGTAAAGACCTGTGAAGCCATGAGGCCACAAAACAAGGCCACAGCTAAGCATGCCTGTCTCTAACCTCTGTTAACTAGGTAAAGACTGTGGCTGCAGGCATCGCATTCCTAAGGTGAAGGCCTGCCTGGAGGTAACATGGTTCACCTAAGTTAGCATAATGTATTACTTGGGGAAGTCCTTAAAGGGATTCCTAAGGTCCCACCCAGCTTCTTCTATTTCTTCAGTATTCCTCTCCTTTGTTTGCTAACAAAATAATTCTGGGCTGCCTAGAGAAGTTTTTTGTCTTAGTCCCAGAGAATCTAAAATTCTGTGAGAGGGTTTTGAACTTCTCAGAGCCCAAAGTTCAAGCCACTTGGATTTTATTCAAGCCTTCACCATCTGCTCCTTTGGAAGACTTATAATTTGCAATAACTAATACTAACCTGAGTGTGGAGCAGTCGCCCGGCATACTCAAGGCCCCTAGAAATGAAGGAAGAAAGGTTTTAATTAGAGCTTTTGGTTCCTTTTTCTAGGTGGAACTTGCACCACACAAGACTGCTGTTCTATTTTCTTTTTTAATTTTTTTTTTTGTTTGTTTATTTTTCTTTTTCCTTTTGGGTCTTTTTGAGACAGGTCTCACTATACAGTTCAGGCTGGCCTTGAGCTCTCTTTGTAGCCCAGGCTGGTCTCTAATTCTCAATAATATCCTCCTGACTCAGCCACTAAGTGCTAGAATTATAAGCATATGCCACCATACCTGGTTAATTTGTTTTATTTTATTTTATTTTAATTTTTTTTTTGGTGGAACCGGGGATTGAACTCAGGCCCTTGAACTTGCCAGGCAAGCGCTTATTTTACTGAGCCATCTCCTTGATTCTGTTTGATTTTAAAGAGAGAGAGAGAGAGAAAAAAAAACAAAACCAAAAAACAATGATACAGAGTTTCAAAACAGGACAATATATTAACAATATTATATATTGTTATCTTCAGGGTAGTTGTTCAGATTATAAGATATAGGCTGAAAGGTTAAACAATATAAAAGCATGAACTGCTCTTTTTAATGAACTAATAGAAATTAGTAATATACTTATCTTAGCTATTTAGTGCTTATATGTGTGTATGTGTGTATTTATTTTTTCTTTTCCCTTCCTTTTCTCCTTTCCCTCATCCCAGTTGTTCATTCCTTTTGAGCAGTTCCTTCTCCTTTCGCAGTAGCTATTGTACATTTTGGATCTTGTTTACACTTTCAGGTTTTTAATACTAGGGAGACAGCAGGCTGTATCCACCTGTGAGTCTGACTTATTTCACTTGTGCGGATGGTCTCAAGCTGCAGCCATTCACCTGTGATGTTCCGTTTTCTTCGTTGGCTTTAGAGATGCAGCTCCCCCGCCCTGCGATGCTGGGATGGGCCTGGAGTCCAGGTGGAGGCTGCAGTACCACGTGTACCAGTATTTTCTGCCCGAGAATGACCTCACAGAAGATGTGCTGCTGCAGCATCTGCGGAGAATGGCCCAGGTGGCCCAGGTGATGGCCAACGCTGTGAAGGTGAGTCTACTTCTCCTGGTGGGTATGGCTAGACTGTGACGCTTTTGTAGGGGTTGCAGAGGGGAGAAGCTACTGGGAGCTTATTGCTTTACTGTTTTCTTGATATTTGGGGGCTAACCACTTTATGCTTTTTCGCTGTGTTTTCATTTTGAGAGCCCTTACTAGTGGTGGCCCAAAATGACACTGGCCTTTGTGGATATGCATGGAAGCTGTGTTTTAAATCAGCTACAGCTGTGAACTTGTAGTCTTGAAATAGGGGTGGAAGCAGTGGCTAATTTTCTATGTGCTCCGATAACTATTGGATAAAAACTTTTGGCAGGCATGACACAGTGTTTTATTGATTTTATAAATTTAGGGCAGGGTCTATAAGGTGTACAGGGCCTCACTACGTAAATCGGACTCATAGTGATCCTCCTGTTTTCAGCCTCCCAAGTGCTGGGATTATAGGTGTGCACCACCACGCCCAGTCTCAATCC